GATCCCATGGGAAGAGCAGCCCTGGGCATTGCCCCCTGCCCTGCACACTCCTGCTGTGGGACAGAGACGGATCCAGGGGACCCCCGCAGTCCCAGAGCTGAGCTGGTGTTTGGGGGATGCTCCCGGGGCTCGTGCCCAGTGTGGGCACTCCTTTAGGCCCAGCTGTTCCTTGGCATCATCGCGGGCAGTGTCACCTGCTGGGTGCCTGCCTGGAGCTCTGGGGGAGGCAGGAAGGGAAGGGATGGGGGGAGGTGTGAGGGGCTGGGGAGCAGCGCCGTAGCCAAAAGGAGGAGGAAGCTCTCAGCACCTCCAAACCCTGCAAACGCCTCTGTGGAGTCAGCACAGGTGCCAGGGCCCCAGCAGTTCCGTGCTCCACTCCAAGCTGGCACCCAGGGAGGGGATGGGGCTGGCTGGTGCCACCACATTGGCCACAGCAATCCCTGAGTGGCACCTGCCTGCTGGCATTGTCCCCATTGTCCCCTGACAGCCAGACAGGGACCCTGCAAGGTCACAGCCTCTGTGGGCCCTTTCAAAGCCCCCGGGCAGAGGGAATAGCTGCACCCATCCCTGCAGCACTGCCAGCCCAGCCTGCTGTCACCCATTAGCCCAGGGCAGTTATTCCACTTATCCGCCCCCCAACATCTTTGCAGAAAATAATTATTGGTCCTTCTCATTGCACCGAGGGATTAAAAGTGGTTAACTCCATTTCCAGAGGCTTTGTTATGTTGGTTTTCCCTCAGCTGCTGCACAAGGCGATTTCCACAGTGCCACTTAGGCAGCTTTTATCAGGTTGTCTTCTGGAGGTAATTGGGTTTTTCAGGAGCCTGTTTAAAATTCGTAACCCAGCCTCTTAAACAAAACAAAAACAGCAGCGGGGAGAAGAGGAAGAGGCAGCACGAAACATGCAGCAGCTGCAGCCTCTGAAGAGCAGCTCTGGTCCCTTGCGGGGGACAGGGACAGGGACAGGCACCAGCCGTGCTGTGGGGTCAGTCTGGAGCCAGCAGCCCCTCCAGCTCAGCGCTGAGCACAGACTGCTGGGGACAGCGGGGACCCGGCGTCACTCCCTCATGCTGTGTCAGGGCCGGGAGACTCTGTGGTGCCCAGAGCCACCCACGTGCAGTCCCTGGGGATGCTGCGGCCACCACTCTGTCCCTGCAGCAAGCCACAGACCCCCAGCACCGTGAGAGAGACCCCAGCACCCATCCACCCCTCATCACAGCCATGTCACACACGGGGTGTGAGTGGGGTCTGTTTGCTCAGCACTCACCAGGAGCCCCGGGGCTGGGGAGGGAGGTGGGCTCATGCCACAGCCTGAGCCCCGCTCCACCATGAAGCTCCAGCTGTGGCAGGGCCCCCTGAGCTTACAGAGAGGGACACAGCAAATAGACAAAACCCACCCTTATGGGGTAACTTCTGCCAGCCCCAAGCCCTGGGGCTCTCCCTGGCTCTGGGCTTTGCTGGCTGGTTTGGGGGGGATCCTGCTGCCCCCCTGTGCACCCCTGCAGCCAGAGGGGCCCTGGGCTGACACTGCGGCTGTTGCTGCATCCCTGCATCACAACCCTCTGCATTACTGCCCATCTGCATTGCTGCCACAGCCCTGTCACTGCCACTCTCTCCTGGCTGGACAAGGGGTGCAGGGGGCACCCCCAGCCCATCCTGCCCCTCTCGGGGTGCAGTGTGCTTTGGGGAGCAGCGGGTGCAGGGAGCTGCCACAGCACATGGGGCTGGATCACGGGGCTGCTCCTCGCAGGGCTGTGCCCGGGGCATCCACAGGAGCCGGCTGTGAGCTCACCCCTGCAGGGCCCCATCATGAACCTGCTCATCCCAGCCCTGCCTGCGGGGTGAGGAGGCTGCGGCTGAGCCAGGGATGGGCTGAGGAGAGGACCGAGCCTGTAATTCCAGCTGTTCCCAGCATGGCAGTGCCCCTGGAGGGTACCAGAGAGAGAGGGGTGCTCCCAGTGCTGCTCAGCCCTCCAGAGCTCCCCAAAATTGCCATCTACACCAACATTTGTGTCACACAGCACTGCAGGGGCTGAATCTCCCAGCGGGACCTCCCAAGGGGACAGGGACTCAGCCCCAGGCTCCAGCTAAGAACACTCCAGAGTGGCTGGGCTGTCAGCCACGGTGTGACCGAGCACCTTGGCTTTGCCACCCCTGCTCTGCGCCCCTTGGTCACCCAGCCCTGGTCTCAGAGCCACCCAGAACCCCAAGGAGACAACACAAGCACTGAGGCACACCAGGATGGACCTGTGAGTGCCAGGGGACCCTGCTGGGGTGGACCTGGGAGTGCCACAATGGGGTGGACCTGGGAGTGCCACAAGGATCCTGCTGGGATGGACCTGGGAGTGCCAGGGGTCCCTGCTGGGACGGACCCTGCCCCTGGAGTGCTGCAGTGGTGACTCCTCATGCCTGCACTCCCGACTCCCTGCGTGTGCCCGGTGCCTCTGTGCTGTGCATTGTTAAACAGAGGCACTGCAGCCCCTCGCTGTTTATCCTGCTGTGGCTGCTGGGGACAGGCCCTGGTGGCTCTCTGCAGACTCAGCCGCCACATTAAGGCTCACTGCAGGTCTGGCCAGCTCCCCAAACAGGTTTATGACCCCTGGCCTTACTCACCTGGCCGCTTCCAAGCCCCCATCCCTATAGGATGGCTCCGACCCCCCGGAACAGACTCTGTGTTCCCCTGGGTGCTCTCCCCCAGGCTGTGCTGCCCTGCCCACGCAGCAGGGACAGCATTTCCACCCCCATGGCCTCTCCAAGGGCACGCTGGCGCCGAGTGCACCCCATCAATATTTATGGCAGGCACGCACACCCGCAGCTCTGCAGGGCCGGTGCGGAGCCGGGCTGGGCACAGCACACCAGGCTCTGCTTGGGAAGCAGCAAAACCCCCCTGAGCCCCTGTGCTGCCTGCCCAGCCCCTCACCCTGTGCACACACAGATTTTCAGCCTTGCCACACTGACAGGGCCCATGCAGACACCACTGACTGAGGTGGTCAGGACTGCATGGGTGGTGGATGCACAGGGATCATCTCCTGGCTCTGTGTCAGCATGGGATTTGGGCACCCACTCCCCACTGAAAGACTCAAAGTGGTTATACCCACCCTCATTTCACTGGCAGAAACAAGACACAAAGGACAAAGGCATGATTGGCTCAAGGTTGGGCAGCCAGGTCAGAGCAGAGCAATGGCAGCCCCCACCTGTCCCCTCTCCAGCCAAAACACCCTAAAAATGAGACACCTGGCACTGCTCCCCTTTATCAGCCTCATGTTGATAAAGCATTGCTTTTGTAAAGATCCTGTAATCTCATTGGGGCACCTGAGTTGAGGACAGGGGTGTTTTAACCCCTCTCTGTACCAGCAGTGCTGAGGGGTGGGAGGGAGTGAGGAGCAGGGATGCTTGGCCCAAAGGTGGCTCTGGGAGAGCAGTGAGGGAAAGGCTCATTGTATCCCATGAGAGGGGAGATTTGGGAGCCCTGAATGCCCCATGGCCTGGGCAACAGAGCTGGATAAGGGGGACAGCACCGGGGCACCCTGCTGGCAGCAGATGGCTGCATGGTGGGGGCTCCATGGCAGCCTGGGGGGACATCTGGGTGCCTGGGCTGGGGCCAAGCTGCAGCTCGGTGGGAGCAGCAGGATGAGCCTGACTGCCCTGCCTGGGGAGCTGGGGAGGGGGCCCCAGGAGTGGCTGGGCTGGGTGTGGGGCTTGCTGCCCCCCAGCTGCCTGTGCTGGGGGTTTCTGCTGCGCTGTGACGCCGGACAGGCACCGAGCTGCTCCAAGAGCTGCTGGGGCTCGGGCCAGGAAATTCATTCTTGGCTGCTTTCAGAAGGGTTTGGCTCGTACCTTTCCCATCTGGGGGCTTTCAAATGGAAAAAAAAAAAAAAAAAAACAAAAAAAAAAAAGAAGAAGAAAGAAAAAAAACCCCTGGCCCTGTGCCACCTCCACAGTCACCATCACTTGCCATGGTCTCCAGGTGGGACCGTGCCCAGCATCTGCTGAGATCCTGAGCTGGTCCTCACTCCCCCGGCCCTGAGCTGCTTCAGATGCCTCTTGCCTGCCTCAAAGTGTCACCAAGATGAGTCCCCCCCATCCTGGGTGACCTGACTGGCTCCACCACGTGTTACCTCTGAGCCTCCCCATCCACCCCATGACTCTGCTGTGCCCCCCACACCACGGGCAGTGAAATGGCCCCCCCAGCCCCCCAAGAGCCACAGCGCTGCCTACCTTGGTGTGTGCAGCACCGGGAGCCTGCTGCTTCAGCACCTAACGCAGGGGACAGGGACCTCGTGGGGGTGGCTGGGCATCGCAGGGAGAGCAGGGCCTGCAGAGACACCAACAGCGACAGCATGAGCGCCTTGGAGGGGGCACAGCACTGGGGGGACACACAAAGGGGAGTCATTTGATGGGGGACAGACAGAGCACACCACTGCTTGCTGCCCTCTCCTCCACCTGGCTGGCTCTGTGTGCTCCCTGCATCCCCATCTCAAGGATGGAACAACTGCCCAGAGGCACCATGTCCCTGCAGGAGGGAGCCCAGCAGGGCGTGCAGAGGGTGAGGAGGTGCAGGAGGTGGCAGCTCTTCCTCTCCTGGATCAGGGGCACCCACTCTGCTGCTGGCAGAGGGCTCCTGGCCATCTCTGCAGGTACCTGGCAGTTCGGATGCCTTCATTAAAAATTGAGAGGCTCTCAACTCTTTAAAGGTTTTAAAATTTCACATTGACTCTGCCTTCCTTAGCTTGCACATGATGAATTTCTCCTTTGGAGAACATAATGGCAAGTTAAAACAAGCCAGTAGACAGAAGTCTTTGCTCAGACTCAGCAAGTGGAGGAAGCCTGGTGCTGCTTTGGGCCTCAGGAAACTTCTGTCTGGGGATCTCATCCCTTCCTAAATGCCCTTGAAATCACCCTGTGAGGCTTGGGGAGATGCTGGCATGGGCAGGGGCTGTGCAGGGAGCTGGGTGCCAGCTCTGGGTGCCACGCTGGCTGTTCTGGGGTGGGCTGTCCCTGTGGTGTGGCTCATGTCACTGGGAGATGTGTCATGAGCACGATTTCTCCTCAGCACTGGAGGAGCAGGTTCCTGGGGAAGTTACAAATTCATCCTGACTTCAAGCAAAGGCTTTTCCTCCACCCTGGGGAAGGAGGGAGGCTTTGGCAAATTGGAGATAAATCTGTGACCCAGGGGAGCCAGGGGAACACTGACGCTGTGGAGGAGCAGGGCTGCCATGGAAGGATGGAGCCTGCATTCTGAAAAGCTTCACAGAGCAGGGATGCCTCATCCCAACCCTGGAGCAGGAGGCACTGACAGCCCCTGGGAACAGGTTTGGGGAGGTTGGCTGTGGGAAGAGGCAAAGGGTCCCCAGTGGGAGACCCCAGAAGGGTGCCTGGTGCCCTGGGAGATGCAGTGCAGAGAGCTCGGCCTGCACAGGGCTCAGCAGCAGCGTGAAGGTGACCTTTGCTGGGGACAACCACTGCCTCCTTTGGGATGTGGGAAGGCTCTGGAGCAGGGTGAGACGGGCTGCAGAGCTGCAGGGATGTGCTCCTGGGGGCGTCTGGTTTCCAGACAGCGCCGTGCCAAGGACACAGCTGGGCTGGGAGAGGCAGGGTGGCTCTGCTGCCATGGCCTGGGGTGCACAGCAGCAGAGATTTGTCTGCTGAAACCCCAGAGGGTGGGAAGGGCAGGAACACCCCGCCCAGGCAATTGAGAAAAAGCAAGAGAGTCCTGAGGGGTGCTGCTCTAAACCCTGCAGGTGCTGCTCTAATCCCTGCAGGGTATTTTTTATTTCAGCCAGACCAAAGAGGTTTTTATCTCCTTTGCAATAGGCAGAGCCTGGCAGTACCACGAAGATGCATCTCACCTGGACAGCTGCACCAGCTCAGTCAGTCTGTCTGTCTGTCTGTCTGTCCAGGCAGCCAGACACCAAGCACAGCCAAAGCAGAGGACAGGAGCAGCAGAGCAGGGTGATGGTGCCAGAACAGCTCCAGGGACAGCAGTGCCCCCAGGTGCTGGCAGGGACGTTTTGATCCAGTCTGGACACAAGACACAGTACCCAGGGAAAACTGAATGCTCCAGATGAGACATTAGTGAGCCCACAGCTCTTCTGCTTTGGCACATCCAGCTCTCAGCACCCTGCCTGAGCAGCTGAGCTTGTGCAAATGTCTGAGAGGAGGGGAGGCTGGGGAAGGAGGAGGGTGAGCTGAGAAACTCAAGGCACATCTCAAATCACTTTCCCTGCATAAGGGAGATGCTCCTGGGTCTGGCACCAGTTTCCAGCCTGGGCAGCAGGAGAGAAGGAGGGTTCAGAGTCACAAAGTCTGGGGACAGCCCGTGCTGGCAGCGTGCTGTCCTGGCTCTCATGCAGGGTGTAGGGGACTCAGGGTGCCCTGCCACAGTGGGCAGCCCCCCGAGGCATTCCCCAGGTGAGGTCTGCACCTGAACTGACCTACCTTGCCTTCAAAAAGCAAAGATCCTCAGCCTCAAACACCTCAATTGCTCTGGCACAATTCTTCCCACCTCAGACTGGGGTACGTCTGGGTGCACCATTGTGGGGCTCTGGGATGTGACTGGGATGAGCAATGTTTCTGAGTGCCACAGAGGGGCTGGTGGCACCAGCCAGGGAGGGAAGGACCTGCTGCTCTGGCTGTGTGCAGGACGAGCAGGGTGGTGCAGAACAACACAGCAAAGGTGAAAGTGGCAGAGCCCACAGCTGGACAAGGCAGGTGGAGGGGTCTCTGCAGGCAGGGAGGCTCGGGGGGAGCAGGAGAGCAGAGGGGAAAGCTCCTGGGACGAGCAGAGGGCGCTCAGGCGAGAGCAGGAGCAGGAGCAGGAGCACGGCTTGTTTACCCTGGCTGAGCAGGCCTGATTGCTCTCTATAAATACACCCAGAGAATAAACACCAGGGAGGGAGAGGGAGCATTTAAACTCCAGGATGATGCTGGCATAAGAACAAATAGGAAGGCCTGGCCAGGAGCACAGAGGCTGTGGGTGAGAGCAGAGATCCTCTGGCCACGGGGAAGATCCTCTGGGTCCAGCCCTGGCTGCTGGGGCAGTGTGTGATGCCCAAGGGCCTGGGCTCGGTGCCATGCAGCCTGGGCTGCAGTGACCATGCTCTCCTGCCATGCCAGAGCTCCTGAGCTCCAGGCCACAGGGGCACACCGGTGCCCAGGGGTAGGAATGGAGATGTGCCACACTGCCAGTGATCACCACCTCCTCCCCAGAGGGGTTTTCCACAGGGACTTCTCATCTCCAGAGCATGAACCAGGCTGGGCAACTCAGCACAGCTGCCCTTGGTGCCTGGTATGGGCCTGGTGGGCTTTGCCTGGCAGCAGCCCCTGCAGAAGCCCAGGGAAGAGCCCAGGTGTGAACCACAATCCCCTCCAGGGCAGTGAGGTGTCCTGAGCTCTGTCTGCTCAGGGTCATTTCAATAGTAATGTCATCAAGCAAGGCAATCGAAGAAACAAACACTCGGCCCAGAGCCAAGTGAGACTTTGAGACATTTTTCTGTGCCAGTTTGTCTCAGCTGAGCCATCTCCAGTTTCCCCAGGAGGGTGAGGGTCAGACACTGTGAGCAGTGCTACTGGATGGGACTGAGCTCCTTTGTTTCCATGCTGGAGCTTGTCCTGGCAGCCCTCGGGGTCCTGCAGCCTCAGAGGCACAAGTGCAGGTTTGGCAGGGAGGGCATTTCTCTGAATGTCCAGCCCATCCTTCCTCATCCTCGATTTGCAAAGCCAGCCCCTCAGCTTGACTCCAATCACCGTGGTTCCCTCAGCAGCCCTGGCCAGCAGCTGCTGGAGCCTGAGCACGGAGCCTGGCAGGTTGCAGGAGAAGCCCTGAGCGCTGAGCCCTGTTCTGAGCGAGGTGCCAGCCCTGCCTCTGTGCTCTGACTCACTGCTCTGCCAGCCTCGG